TTTGCAAACTTCATGGCGAATGGGATTCCTCTTACAACGAGCTGCCCAGTTGGTTTCATGTTGTGCAAAGACTTAATCCTGGGACAATTGTTGAGTTCGAAACTCAACATCATTACGTGAATGATCGAATGGTTCACGATCGCTGCCAATTTTACCGAGTCTTTTGGACTTACCCTCAGTGTATTAATGCAGTCAAGTACTGTAAACCAATTGTCCAAATTGATGGTACTTTCTTGTATGGGAAATACAAGAAAGTTTTATTATTGGCTGTGGTCCAAGATGGAAATCGCAATATTCTTCCTGTTGCGTTTGCCCTCGTTCAAGGAGAAGACACTGAGTCTTGGGCTTTTTTCCTTAAAAATTTACGTTTACATGTTGTCACCAGGGAACGACTATGCATTATTTCAGACCGAGGAGCCGGGATAAAAGCAGCAATGGACTCTTTGGGTACAATGTATAGACCTCCACATGTTCAACATCGTTATTGTGTCCGTCATATTGCTGCAAACTATTACGGAAAATACAAGAAGAACGATGAACGTCAGTTAGTCGTGCGGATGGGTATGTTACTTTTTCCCAATTTTTCTATCAATTTCTTATTACTTATTTATACTTCATATTAACTATTACATATTCCTAATGGCTTAGGTTACGAACTCTTACCTCAAAGGTTGAGTCGATGCTACAAGAGCTGTTTGGCAAAAATAAGAAGGGGTGCGAGTACATTATGGACATCAGCAAAGAAATGTGGACAAATGCATATGACGGGGGGTATCGCTATGGTCATATGACAACAAACTTGGCTGAAACAATAAATTCAACCTTAAAGGGGCACGTCATTTACCAGTCACGGCGTTGGTTAAAACGACTTATTTTCGTTTGGGTCAACTCTTTGCAAAGCTCGGTGGACAAGCTCTTACTTGGATGCAAAACGGACATATTTACCACCCAAGACTAGTAGTTGATTTACAGAAAAAAGTGGCTGCATCAAATGGGATGTTAGTTACAAATTTTTCTCGCACCCGTGAATTGTTTCGTGTAACCGAAATGCCACGTCCGCTGCAAGGGATTGAAGCTAACTCTTTCAGAGTTAATCTGCAAGAGAGGTGGTGCGATTGTGGTTTCTTTCAAGCACTCAAATATCCATGCTCTCATGTCATTGCTGCTTGCTCACATTCGCATTTGGACTACAAAAATTATGTTGATCCCGTATACCAACTTTCACAAGTATTCAAGGTATATGAATTTGAGTTTCCGCCCATAGGAAACGAAAGAGACCCAAATGAGATTAAAACTTGGCTTACAATTGTACCAGATCCATTGCTATTGAGGGACTCAGGTCGTCCAAAATCTACTAGAATACATTGTGATATGGATATTCGGGAGAAGTCAATAGAACAAAAACGATGTGGGCATTGTAGAAACATCGGGCACAATAGAAAAAAATGTCCAGCTCTGTTATCATCATATAACCGTTAACTCTTATGTAATTAATATTGTATTTAAATGAATGTTTTTGTTTCTAATAATTTAATGTTATTGCATTTATATAATTTGTCAATGTATGTACACCTAAATAATTTTTTTTAACTTTTAAATACATAAATATATTTAATATATTTATTTAATATAATAATTAATATTATTAGTTATAATTTTTTTTTAAAATATAATAATAATTCCACCTTCTAAGTAGAGAAAAATATTAAATTAAACAAATTAAAAGTTATTAAAAAATTTATGTATACGATGACACATTTCATGTTCTGATTTAAGGATTAAATTTATTAAATTAAATTTTCAATAAGACTAATTTTATAAAATATGTAAGTCTTGAAGATTAAATATGTAATTATACTAATTTATTAACTTATGCATCAATATTTTCGTTAAATATTGATATGAGATGACTAGATTGATAACATTTAAATAATTAACTGATAAAATTAATAGATCGATAATCAAAATCAAAAATAAAAATAATAATATAACCATATGTGTAATATTATAATTTCATACATTTTCCCTATAACTACAATAAAGTCAAAACTGGTTTTCATATATTGTTATATCATATTAATGTAGATAATTCACTCCACCTTTAACACACATTAACAAAATACATTTAATAATTCTTACATTATAATCGAAACATTTTACATAATATATTATTAATTTATAATAATAATAAAAATAAACTATTTATTATAAAACAAAATACGTGTCTGCTGAGTTGGCAAAGGCGCGTCCCCGGGGACGCGCCTTCCACACGTGACATCCAACTCAGCGAAAACGCGGGTAAAGCGCGTCCCCGGGGACGCGCCTTTGCCAACTCAGTAGAAAGGGTGCTACTTCTGGAAATATTGGTCAAACTGTGTCAGAAAGAGAAAATTTAAAACAAACGGTGTCAGTTATGTAATTTAGCCGCTTAAGATCCTTGTTCGGATTCACCACGCACACACTCGAGGAAGCCAGTCGGGACCAGATCACACCACAACATTATCTTCTTCACCGTCCTACCTTCGTCAACTATATCAATGCCTACATTTTTCTGCTTCATCACATGTACCCTCAATTGCAAGTCTGTAATTACATCCTTCCTTCGACTTGACTATAATCTATTGATATAATTGTTATTAATTTCATCATCAATTAAATTTATTATTTGACAATAAAATTTACCCATTTATAAATCTATCAATCTTAAGATAATGTTAATCACTCTTAGGATGAGCATGAGTCGATTTGGGTCAAATTTTTTGCTCACCTAACCCGACACGAGAACAATGACTATTCCACTTGAAATCCGACCCAACATGCATAATATATATCTTCCACCCGTCCCGAACCCGACCCGACATTTTGAGATAAAATCCGACCCGACCTGAAATAATAATAAAAATAGTGACTTAATTAAAAATAATAATATATAGAGAGATATTATTGTAATTATTCCAAATATATAAGATAAGGTTATATTTTTTCGGGTCGGGTATTTTTCATCCTAAACCCGAATTCGACCCGACCCAAACACCACCTTTAAAAAAACTGACTCGACCCAAACCCAAAATTAAAAAAAACCATCGAATTCGAGTCTCATATCCATCCCTAATCACTTTACAGTCTAATGTTAGGGATACGTACCTTTACAAACAAAATTAAAAAATTAAAATCATACTTTTATTATTTATCTTCTTCTTCAATTTGTTTTCCTTTACCTTTCTCAGGATCATTGATTATAACTCTATACCTAACTTAAAGAAAATGTACCATCTAAGACCACCACATCCCTTTTTCAAACTATTAACGATAACACTTATTTATTCGTGTTGCTATCTTAAAGAGTCTTAGAAAATATAACATAATGTATAAATTATTTTTTGTAGCTGTTTTATATGTTTTTAATTAATTTTAAGTGTTTATATATATATATATATATATTGTGTATGCTATAATGAATTTGAATATTTTATTGAAAGTAAACTTGAATAACGGTTTAAATTCGAGCATTGTGCATACTTTTGATCATAGCTTATGATCAAAATATCGAATTAAGACGTACCATACACCTTTGAAAGCTAAATGCGACAAAAGAAAAAATTATGAAGACCTTGAGACCTAATTCCGATAGAAAGATTGTAAAAATCATGACCAAATGTCAATAATCTTTCATTAAAGAGACAATAAATCACTTGTATCATTCTTTTTAAGCGTGGTTGAGTATAAATTAAATGCGTAATTCATTTTACGTGGTAGTGGTTGAATCAGAAATCTAAAAATAAAGTTCATAATTTTTAATTTTTTTAACAAAATGAGTTTATTTATTTATTTTCTTCTTCCCTTGATATATTAAATTATATTTAATAATTTATTCAAAATAATGAATATGCATTTTACCCCTTAAGAGACTAAATTCATTCACCCCTGTTATATAGGTATGCGATCTTATTTGAATCAACCATGTTTATATGTTTGTTGATTGAATCGGATCTTTTCTAATTCTTAATATTATTGATAAATCAAATCTTAATGTCATATATTTTGGTTTTTTTAATTTTAAAGTTAAATCTATTAATTAATTAATTCAAATCGAATAATATCAAGATTCAAATCATTTATATAAAGCACCAAATAATAATCTTTATTAAAGACACGGTCAATGCAAGAAGAGATTTAAATCGTGATATAAAAAATAGAGTAGTTGTGAAGCAAAGGGGCAGGAGAGGTAGTGGGACGGCTCACCGGTCATTAGGCCCCAAGGACCCACACACATATAAGCACAGCTGATGCTGAGCTTGATCTTCAATGCCAGATTAAGAGAGGATTAGTAAATTATCCATTTATTCCACGTCTCTATTGACTTATAATTTGCTTTCTCATCCAACCAACATTAACACCAATTCAGGATTCCATCTCTTGATTAAGAAAGTGTCTTTATTTCCAATCATGTGGACGAAAGGTGGGTCATCAACTCATTCTCCTTTTTCAAACGCCCTCCTCCTTGCTCTCGGTTTCAGATTCTTGGCCTAAAATCTGATTGGATTTGAAAATTTGACTTGAGTTTCCTACATTCAATTCGATTCAAACCCCTAATTCATCCATTTTTAAGTTGATCTTTTGATTAGATTTGATTCGTATGCTCTTCTAACACGATAAAATATTTATGCAATTTCAATTCTTATTTTTAACAACAAATTTACTCCATTTATAATTTAATCCCTCAATTTTACATTCTATTCAATTTGGTTTATTACATGTCAATGGGGCCGGAGGCATAGGCACCTAATGTGATCAAGGCCCCTCAACTCCAGCCAGCAAATCTTACTAACAGTATGGTACATTGCAAGGAAATCAAAAACTTTACTCTTTTGGTCACTTCAACCAAATTGAAACCAACATGAGACCTAACAGTGAGGTGCTCAAAAGTTGAAACCATAACCAGAGATAGACTGGGGGTTGGCAGACAGTTCAATGGAATTAAGGAGAGGATCACACAATGAAACATAAGAAAGTAAATAGAATTCTAATATTACAAAGCACAAAGAGACAACAACCGGATCACGAGCACAAAAAAATCCCCACAACGAGTAAGTGTTTTGTGAACATATTTGAACATATTGCAGAACAACATATCATCACAGAAGAAACAATTAAAAGGGAACGAAAACTAGAAATCATAATACAAAAGGTAGGCAAAGAAATGTTATCTATTTTATATGTGGAGAAATCAATGAGTATAGTAATACCCAGCTGGTGGTCCCATTCCGTTGACCGGTGGCATTCCGTAAGGCATCACTGGCATAGGTCCAGGTCCATAGTATCCAGGGTTACTGATTTTGGCCAAACTAGCTTGACCTTGCATCCCATCCTTCGAATATTGCTGCCATACTTGCTGCTCCCGGACAAGCAGATGTTGTTTCTTCTCCATGTCAGCCATTTGTACATAAGACGGAGGAGGAACGCTCAAAGATGCGGCGAACGGGTCTTGATTGACATTCTGAACTGTTCCATCAGGTGCTGGAAGGGCTAAAACTTGTGTCGTGGTCTTCCCCGGGCCTGGCAATGCCACACTACTCGCACTCCCCCCACTCAGCTGTGCAGTACTAACATGCTGCCTTACTATTCCCTGATCATACATGCCATTCAACAATAATGGATCAAGGCCACCACCCAAAGCTGCCTTCTGCCTTGACAAATTACTAGCTGTCTCAACCAAAGCCAACTCCCAATCTTCCTTCCCTGGCTCAGCAGCAGGGTTTTGCCAAGCCGATGTCACTTCAGGCCCATTCGATGGGAAAGCTTCCCATGATCCATTACCGTTATTAGCCGGGCCATTAAATAAAGCCAAAGCCAGTTTGTTCCCCTGATCATCAGCTGTGACATTATCGTCCCTCAAGTTCACTAAATCCTCCTGCGGCTCCGGGGCTTTAACGGGTTCAGGCTCTGGCGGTGGCGGTGGAGTGTAGCTTTCTGGAGCAGGTAGGGCCTTTATTTCATTCATATCTGGTGCCAGCTCTTCCTCTTTAGGCGGAGGAGGAAGCTCTTTCCTCTCCGGACTCTTCGGCCTCTTAGATCTGTCCCTCACAAATTCCTCCAGTGTTTCCAACAACTTACCGGTAATCCTTTGCACCTCAGGATACTCTGATGATCTAGCCACGCCTGTATCCTTACACCAATTATAAAATGCAATTAACTCGTTGATCTGCTTTGATGCACTTGCATATGCATCGAATGCCTTCACACAATCTGGATACTCCATATCAAAAAATCTATCAAGCAGCACAGCCAAAACCTCGCAAATATCCGCATATAACTGAAAACTCTCCCTCACAATGGGATATAAAGCAATCAAGATCATCCTACTATTCTTTGCCAATCCTGTAGGCCGACATGACAAGAACCGATCTAACAACTTCTGCAAGTGACCCATCTTCCCGAAAATCCTCTCAGGAGTCATCTCCCTCAATGGAGTCACTGTTTTCTTCTCCTCTTTTCCGTCTCTCCCTGCTGCCTCACTCATATCACCATAAGACCTCGTTCTCCTTGGCATACCATAATTACCATATCCATTGTCACCTCTGGAATCTCCATAATCATATTCGTATGTCCTCGGTGGCGGTGACCGGGAGTCATCTCGTCCACCATATCTATCATCATATGGCCTCGGTGGTGGTGATTGGAAATTATCTCGTCCACCGTATCTATCAACATTACCCCCGTGGCTACTTCCCCCAGCACCACTACCGCCGCCGCTTTTCCTATCGAAAAGCATCAGTTCAAGTCTTTGATCCAAATACATGGCATAAGTTCTTATAAAAGCAGAGTGATCCCACGAACTCGAGTGAGCCTCATCTCTAAAGTCCGACATATTCAACAGCCTCGTACCTCTCCTGGTAGCATACAAGATCTCTTCTTGAAACAGCGAATCTCCCTCATTCAACAGCCTATGAACAAGCACCAGTGCTTTGAGCGCCACGATCCAGTTACGAGTCTTACCTAGCCGTTTTGACACCGCCGAGACGCAGGCGTGGACGTACCCGCGTGAGTAAGAGGTCAAATTAAGGATCTCACGTATGTACTTCTCACCGGCAGGGTCATCGTCGTGGCTCGTCGCTTTCACAACCGCCACCTCGAGGTCTGGCGCCATGTTGCTAGCTACCTTCGCTAGACCTATGCTGGTTTGGTCTTTAACGGCCCCGATCGCTTTCTGAATCGTGCTCGGCATCTTGACCGTCCGATTTCAAACCAAAATCTTCTCCTCCGTTCTTCCTTTGAAAATTATCCAACGGTAATTTCAGTTTAAAATGTTCAACTCCAAAGTAGAAATCTAACAAAATTTAATTAACTAACTCTAATTCTTATAAAAAAAATTAACTAACTCTAATTAAGGTCAATTAAACCATTAATGAACTCCAACTATAAACGATAACATAAATCTGAAAAAAAATATAAAGAAGGCTTATACCTTCTAGATATACGGTGTACGGTGTATAGCGTACGGCGGTGAACAGGCGGTGAGTCGCGGCGGCGCCGGTTTACTTTTTTAAAAGATTCTCTCTTCTGTGAATGAAAAAAGAGTGGAGGAAAGGCGGAGGATGTGAAGGAGAAATAAAAGGCTAGATTTAAATAGTGGGTTTGAGGTACGGAGACGTGGAGGAATCAGAACCGTCGGATCGTGGTGGATGCAAGAGATCTGGTGAGAGGTTGCTGTTTGAGTGGAGGTATGGGAAGGTCAGTGTTGCTGTCTGAAAGAAACCACGAAATGTTCTCTCCTGTGCGTTGGATTAGAGAACAAATGGAGAGAGATAAAGATTGGGTTTTGATTACATGCTTTGCGGCTTTTTTTAAACTTATGCAATCACCGACATTTGATGTGATTTTATATAAATTTAAGCGAAAATTACACTAAACACCACTGTAGTTTAGGCATTGTATTATTTATATTATTAAACGTTTAGTTACTTTAATCAAAGCATTAAACTTTCATTTTCATTTTAGTTATATCATTAAGTAGTTAACTCGATAATGACACGATGACATAGATAAGGGCCGCTGACATGGATATCATACTAAAACAATATCATTTTGATCGAGCTATTTGAATGTTCAAAATGATATTATCTTAATGAAAAAAAAATCGAAAAAAAAATCAACAAACGCATCTAAAGAAATTTCATTCACATTACTCATTGTGGATCGCCTGGGTGAAAGCTTATTGTTTCCAATCTGCGAATTATTGGGAAGCAGTCTGTAAACCCCACTACAGCTGGATTTTGGCTAAACTTTTGAGGCTGCGAGATCTTGCTTGTAATATGTTTTCTCCTGGTACTAATTTGCGCCTTATTAATGGCAAATGGGTATGGGATTGTATTAGAGTTAGAAGGGAGAAGGTGAGTTCGCATAAGCTTATCTGGTTCCCGTCCCATATTCCCAAATTCTCCTTAATCTCGTGGATGGCCATCCTCGATTGGTTGCCAACTAAAGACAGGCTTTCCCGTTTTGGTTTAGCTGTTGATGTTGCTTGTTTGGTATGTGGTTCGGACTCTGAATCAAGGGATCGCTTATTTGCTGCTTGTCCTTTTGCTATGGATGTTTGGAACACTGTTCTAAGCCTTTGTGGTACTCGTTGTGCTGCTCTTACCTGGGATCAGCGCCTTAGCTGGATGGTTGGAAACCTGAAGGGCAAAACTTTTCGGGTACGGATTCTAAAACTTGCTTGGACTAGTTTTTTGTATTATATTTGGGAAGAGCGTAACTATAGGTATTTTAGAGGCATCTCAAGCTCAAGTGAGGTAATTGTAAAAAGAATTAAGGAGGCAGTGAAAGCAAAATTGTATAGCCTTAGTTTACATAGAGTAGATGATGGTAATAGATTCTTGTACATAAACTGGGAACTGTTTTAGTTTGTGACAGTTTCATTTTGTAGCAGCTAAGCTGCGGTTTTTTTTGGATGGAATATAATTTACTTATCCAAAAAAAAAATTCATTCACATTTTAAGATTTTCAGATAATTTTAATATTTTAGTTTTATATATCTTTTTACCATTATTTGTATTATTATTGTAACATTCTTGATAACATAAAGTTATAAATTAAGAGACCGAAATTAAAAAGAATATTGCAATTACATATGGAAAGTGGAGGACAGACTACAGAGGTTTGTTTGTAGAGTAATGCTTCTTGAAAAGCAAAAGGAATTTAAAAGGAAAAACACTATTATTAAAGTGAAAGGGAGGCCGAATGTTCTATACCACCAAGTAAAGTGCTCATTCGCCCATCAATACTATAGAATAATATATGTTACGCTACACATGCCAATTCCACAATCCACATTTTGGGTTTTTTAATCGATTTAATCTAGTTCACTCCATTCATGACATTATAATATAAATATTAAATGTTGTTTAAGAGGGGTAATGTCTTATCCGTCTAAACCAAAATTCATAAAACTATAATTCACTTATCTCTAAAATTTTAAATCTTTGGTCTATAATCCCTAAATCTCACATGTTGTCATCGAAATTAGTCACAATCGACCTCTTTCGTGAATGGTGCATGCTGAATAATGATCAACAATATAAAGGGAAGAAGGAGAAGGCGACAATGTTAGTTTCACGATAGGTGCAAGTAAGTAGTCGACAATGGGGAGAGAAGCAAACATGAGTGAGAAATGGGGGTACACCAATAATATGTTGTGATGAAGAGTCTGACCGACGACGAGTTTTCAACGAAAGGGAAAGGAGTGGTTGGAGTAGAAAGGATTAGAAAGGATTAGAGATTTGTGTACCATAGGCTTAGGAATTTACGGGTTAAGGAGATTTATGTATTTAAGTTTAGGGATTTTGGGGATTGGGGCAACGATGAGAGAGGAGTAGAAAGGATTAGAAAGGATTAGAGATTTGTGTACCATAGGCTTAGGAATTTACGGGTTAAGGAGATTTATGTATTTAAGTTTAGGGATTTTGGGGATTGGGGCAACGATGAGAGAATGACCAATTATAGGAGCCCGATGACAAATGGATCGAAGCTCGACATTGACGATTTAGGATTAAAGTTTAAGATTTTTTTATAGAATTTTAGAGAAATTTAATTTTTTTTAAAAATAAATATTTCAAAATTTTATAGATACACTACATGTTAATTTTAAGCAGTTGACGAATTTTTTAATAGTTGTGATAGAATTGACCTTAAAATGATAATTTTTAAAACGTTAGGCTCCTACTCTGACAAAAAAAAATTAAATTGTATAATTTAAATATTTATTTTCAATTAAACCTATTTTTAATTCAATTAAAATAATATTATTTAAACCTTCATGCCGTCACAATGACAAAAAGTGCCTTCGGCAAAACTGCCCAAATAATGTGGTTTGGGATCTTTTTCCCCAGAATAATCCACTTTCCGTATTATTTCCCCAACTAGAGTGTTTTCTATAGTCTTTAGGAAACCTCGGCGTCTTCAGGTTAACTATGAAGACTACGATTTCTCCGCGTCTTAACCAGGAAGACTTTCTCGGCGTCTTCAAGTAATCTTCAGGCAACTCAGAAGACTTCTGGAAATCATGGCGTCTTCTTTATTTTCTGAACCAAAGCAGCAAAATCTGCTGCATGGCGTGCAAAACAGCGTTGCATGCATGCATGCGTTGGGGACCGGGATGAATAATGGAGCACCGGGAAGCAGCGAAGCTATCCATGTCCAACTGTGGTCCCTCATCGTCAGCTGCCACCCACGCAATGAGAAAGAGAGAAAGAAATACAGGGTTATAAAACCCCAAAATCAAGCTACTATTGTAACATCCTCCATGCCGGGTTAGTGATTAATTTGCAAAGTTTCAACATTTGGTGATTAAAGTAGAACAATTATATAGTTTAAAAATAAAGGTTGGTAAATATGAGATTAAGGTGAGGACCAAATGGTCATTTGCAAGGGGAATTTTTAATTAAATAAAATGCTATGGGGTATATGAGAACACGTGTATTCCAGAACCTCCCATTTCTTCTCCCTTCTTCCTCATTTTCTTCTCTTCCTTCTCTCAACGTTGGGCTTGCATTTAAGGTAAGAATCTGAACTTGATAGTTTCTTTGATGTTTTATGATTGGAAATGAAAGCTTGGATGTTATATAAGCTAAAGGAAAGCTTATATGACATTAAAACAACAAGATTAGGGTTTTAGAGATAGATTTGGAAAATGAGTTTATAGATGAGATTTTGATATGGATGAGGTTTTGATGTTTGAATCAGAATTTTGACTTGTCAATAAGCTAATTAAGAAGTATGAGGGGTTAGAATTCAAATTAGAACATATTGGAATTTGAGTTGGATTCTTAAATGCTACATGGAGAATTAGATTTCTAAGTTTTAGAGGTATTTAATGGATAATAATTAGTTTAAGTAAGTGTATGAGAGCTAAGAGTAGTAAAGGGATTGAAATATGTATGTTTGAGTTGAAATTAGATGATTTTCGGGCTAAAAATAGGATTTATGGGTTAGGGGAATCGGTACCCATTCAAGGGGAACCGATACCCCTTCAACGAATATGATTTCCAGTATGCTAGAGGGGAATCGGTACCCCCAGGGGGGGAACCGATACCCCCTCATCGTTTATGAATTCCAGATTGCTTAAGGGGAATCGATACCCCAGGGGGGGGAACCGATTCCCCCATGAGAAAAAGAAGAAGAAAGAAAAGAAAGCAAGACTAAGCTATTAATTCTTTTAATTAGTAAGCTATTAAAGATTAATTTCAAGACACAGACGTCTGATGATCATCTTAAAAAAAATTATGTTTATGTAGATACCGAGCCTACTCGAGTTCGGGAACAATCTACAAGTAGGATCGATCGAGGAAAAGGCAAAGAAGTATAGGTGAGTGCATATGCATAGCATGAATACAGTAGTATATTCAGTTCTAGACTTGTGATAAGTCTAGATTCCATATTTTGACACATGATTACATTCCATATTATGATACATGACATGAATTTGTATTAAATGTATTACATGACATGAATTCATCTTATATGTATTACATGACATGAATATGCAGAAAAGTTCTATGCACTATGTGATAAAAGTATGTAAATGATATGCCTATGTGTTAAGGTATGGAAATACTATGTCTACGCGATATGAACTACGGGAAATGTATAAGCCCATGTTATGTAGATGAGAACTATAGGTATAGTTGGCATGCCAAGGGTAGAGGGTATACTCGGTTCTTTAGGACATATGTATATCCTTTGGAACCTGTGTGAAGTCTTGAAAGACACATACTTGATCCATAGTATATGTATATGATTCTTAAAGGATTCTACGTGGTCCTTATGGACAAAATTCTACGGGCACTTCGGTGCATTTATACGAGCTGTGGTGACAGCATAGTGCACAACCTCACATTACTCAAATACCTTAGGTTCTCAATATGCTATCATGGGCCAATAAGCTTATTAATACTGAATAATGAATGTTACAGTCATACGCTTACAGGTATGGATATTGTTAAAGTATACTACATTGATTAGTTACATGTTTGCATCTCATCTCATATGATCCTGACATATTCATTACAATACATTGCCTTATTATTGTTGCCTCACTAAGTCGATGACTTAGCGTGTGAGTGTTTCACACGTAGGATCCGAGAAAAATAGAAGAGACAGGTGAAGCAGCTTGACAGTATTACTCCTGCAACCATCAGATCAGAAGCAACTTATCAGTAGGTTATTTTGTTATGTAAATAGCAGTTGGCATGTAATTAAAGAGTTAAGTTGTGTATGCTCTGAATATTTTTGTAAACTTATATTACAGTATGTATATTATTGTATTTTCTTAATACAAGTCCCAATATTTTACTATTATTTATTAAGAGGGTGTTTTAAAGTCAATGTAGTATCTCTGACTCATATCCGGGTCGGGTATGGGTTGGGGGTGTTACATTTAATGGTATCAGAGCTATGGTTTAGCCGATTCTAGGCATAAACCAGAGTCTATGGAGTCTTTAAATGGAATACATGCCAACAAATGGTGATAACTTCTGATCTGGTATAGTATGAGTATGCTGTTTTGCTAATAGAACAATGTGTATATTCTTATTAGATGTCCGGACATAATAGCTCCCGAAGTGAAGCGGGAGAAGATAGACATGCTGAAAGCAGTAATTCACCTGCCCTGGCCAGGCAAGGTGAAGAACAGGCATCTCAAGGAGTGCCTGTGCAAGATCAAGATACGTTCTTCAGAACGTTAGACGCTATTCTGACGCGTCTTCAACCTCCTGCTCCACTAACTCCACGAATTAATGTAGCAAAAGAATTGAGAAGTTTAGGAGCTCCCGAGTTTAAGGGAGAAGCTGATGAAGGTCCGGTGTCAGCGGATCTTTGGTTGAATGATTTGAAAATCATGTTAGATGGTCTCCACTGTTCCGAAGTGGAGAAATTAGATGGAGCTGTGTCTTTACTAAGGGGTCAGGCGAGGATATGGTGGACGAATGTCACCATGAGGATGTCAACCGACCAGTTGACTTGGTCTTTGTTTTTAGAAGAATTTAAAAGCAAGTACATTGGGGATCAGTTTATCCGCCAAATGAAGCAGGAATTTATGAGTTTGAAGCAGATGAGCCGCTCTGTGTATGAGTACGAATGTGAGTTTAATAAGCTGAGCAGGTTTGCAGCCGAGCTTGTGCCTACTGAGAAAGATGCTTGCGAATGGTTCGTGGAGGGCTTGCGCCCTAGGCTTAAGGAAATGTTGATAGTATTAAACTTGTCCTCGTTCCAGGAGGTGATCAATCGTGCAAAAGCTCTTGAAAGGGCTCAGAATGAAAGATTTGGGGACTCAAGGGTTCAGACATCAAAGAGGACGACTACTTATTCTGGTTCAACACCAACAAAAAGGGGAAGAGACTCGGGATTT